TTATATATCTGTGAGACCATTCTTTTAAAGTTTTTCTTCTCTAATTCTGGCTACTCCTTCACTTTCTGCTCCTCAGGGTCCTCTTTGCCCTTTTGTCTCCTAAATATCTGTGTTTCCAAAGTTGCTTTTCTCTTCTCACTTTTCACTCTCTTGGGTGAGCTCACCTACTCCCAAGGCATTAATTAGCATTCATCTGTTTACTGATAACTTCCAGATCTCTATTTCTGACTCCAATCACCTGCCTCATTTCCAAACAATTATACCTTTTGTGTACCCTGGAAACATCCTGGGGGATATTCATTCAGTGTGTTGAAAACCAAGCTCACTTTCCTAATAATCTTGCCTACTTCTTACATGTACCAACTAAAAAAACAAAACAACAAAAATTTAAAAAAACCTTTTCTTTAGACATTCTCTCTCCTTCTCTTCCCTTTGATTTTGACTATATAAATTATGCTTCCTCTCCGATTTAAATCCAAATCCTCCACACACCTATTCAAGACAGTCTGTTTTTTTAGTAAAATCTACCTGTAGCACTTTTATGACATTTCTGTGTTATTACCCCATTCTAAAATACATCCTTACCTTTCCAATGTCATTTCTGAGGTTAAAAGCATTTCATCTGAAATGAATGTCTCAGCTTCCTTCTTCTTTAAATTTCTGTCTTCCTTTCTCAATTCTTTTTTTTTCCTTCAAAACTAACTCTTTATTTGCATCCTTGATGCAATTCTCCTCTCATCTGCTGAGATCTGATTTATGAGAACAGAAGTCTTATCTGTTTCATCCCCAGCTTCTGGAACAGTGAGAACCTAGCACATAGTAGATATTTTAAAATATGTACTGAATGCTATATTAAGGAATTAGTCTCTCTTTTTCTCACCTTTTTAGTTTCTCCTCTTCCTACATCAAGTTCTTCTTCAAGTCTAAAATATGTTTAAGTCTTCTTTCAAGGAAAAAAATAATAAAAATATATCCATACAAACTTTTTCTTAACAAGCTATTGGTTATGTTTTTCTACCACCCAAGCTTCTTTTAAGTTGCATTTGCACCACTAACTTCACTACTTTGAAATGTGGTTTTCTCCCAATAGTGCCTTCTCAAAATCACCACTGATCTCCTAGAACCTTTTCTCGTCTCTCATGCTTTGTTGATCCTGTATCATTTTACACAAATGAAGTCCCATTGCTTCTTAGAACTCTTCTCCAGATATTCCATGGTTTCCTTAAAGAGAGGTTATATGTACCTTTATTTCCTGTAGGTGGTCATCTCACTTATCATGCTGTTTACAAATGTGTGCTTATTTTTCAGTATCCTGGACTAGACTATAAATGTCTTCAAGAGAAGCGTTATGTCTTCTTAATCAATATACTCCCACCGTCTGACACTATGAGTGCTTAATAAATATTTGCTGAGTAATCAAATGAATATTGTCATCAGATCAACACTCAAGAGTTTTAAGAACCCTGGAGAAGGGGATTGTTGGTTAAAATAAGTGTGACATAACATTCTAAGAGAAAAGGGTACGTGAAAGTAGTATGAGGGGCTATGGACAATCAGAAAGTGGCATAAATATATGAATGAGTTATTTCACATATTCATTCATTCATTCATTCCTTCACTTGGTATTTACTGTGAGCAAGGCAGTTGAGGAGAAATAGAAAGATACTTGACATATTGAACCTATCCTCATGGATGTGCCTTTTTTAAAAAAAGATTTTTATTTATTTATATTTAAAGAGAGGGGAAGGGAGGGAGAAAGGGAGGAAGAGAAATATCAGTGTGAAAGAGAAACATCAGTCAGTTGCTTCTCCTCCACAACCTGACTGGGGACTGAACCTGCAACCCAAGCATGTGCCCTGACTGGGAATCAAACCAGCAGCTTTTCACTTTGTGGAACAATGCACAACCAACTAAGCCACACCGGTCAGGGCCTCATGGATGTGTCTTATAGTCAAGGGCTGAGAATCCGGGAATGGTAAGAACTGGTAGAAAATAGGAAGGAGTAAGATACTTTGCCATTCAAAAACAATTTTGAATTAATATTAAAATATCAGGACAAGTTTAGATGGCCACAAGTCAGCTTTCTGTAATCCGCTCACCTTTGCAATCTAGGTCTATCAGCTGCAGTTCTCAAACATTAGTGCACGTAAGGAACACCCGGGGATCTTGTTAAATTAAAGATGGAAAAACAATCTCCCGGGAATCCTGATTCTGTAGGTCCAGGAGAGTGCATTTTTAATAAGCATCCCACAGGATTATGATGCATTTGGTCTGCAGAGAATGTTGCTGTAAAGTCCTTAGTCATTCATGTCATAATTTTGCCATATCTGAGTTACACCCATATCTTAGCCTTATCCTACTCAAGAAGTTTGACTTACATTTTTATAACACACATGAAATAAACACATATAACTATTAAAAAGCTGCCCTAGCTGGTGTGGCTCAGTGAACTGGGCATCGGCTTGTGAACTGAAAGGCTGCCGGTTTGATTCCCAGACAGGGCACATGCCTTGGTTGCAAGCCAGGTCCCCAGCTAGAGGTGGGTGAGAGGAAACAAATAGGTGTTTCTCTCACATGTCAATGTTTCTCTCCCTCTTCGTCTCTCTCCCTTCCACTCTCCCTAAAAAATAAATAAAATCTTTTTTAAAAAGTCTATCTATATCAGTGGATGGGAAACAGTCTAAGAAGCACTGCTCAAGAGTTTATGCTCTGTAAACACCACATCCTGCATGCAGTCTGATGACACAAATTATAACAAAGTTCCAGGGCAGCGAAGTACAACAGAACTGTGCTTCAGAAGAGTTCATGTGCATACTCTGGTATCTTTTATGTATTATAATGACTAATTATAAAAATCCCTCCTTATATTGACTTTTTATTTTAAAAAGTACTTTGTCTTTTACTCTGGTACTTAATTCTCATAATGTTCTCGAGGAGACACCTAAGCCAACTCCCAACAGTTAAGGCACCAAACTTAAAAGCAGCAGTTGGAACAAAATGAAGATAGATTTGTGTGCTTGACCCGCAATAAAATATATATATATATATCTATATATATCCATTTTATTTAAAATTACATTTGGTTAAGATGGATAATTGAGTTCAAAGCCATAAACTTGATAGCCCTATTCCTTTTGCTTCGACTCTAATTTATCATTACAGGCAAAATAATATGGCAAAAAGATGAGAGGAATAATTGCATCTCAGAAAAGTCTATTCCTTTAAAGATTTGGCAACTCACAACCACAAACAGAAAAGAAAGTTAAAATAGAAAACCATCACCAAATGATTGTGCTGATATTAAGCCTTTAAAAACAATATTCTTCTCTAAATTATGTATTAGCTTAAATGGCTAAGAAAATCAATCTTTGTCTAAATATTTGAGTGGGTGTTTTTTGGATACCACATTTCATTGTGTCAAAAGCCAGTTCCATATATTTAATCTCTAGTCACATGGAACAAAAATAGATGAATGACTTGGAAATTTACTACTTACTGATTTATAAAGCACTTAATCCTGTTTGGATAAAAGGATTACTGCAATAGCCTCCAAACTAGCCTCCCTATTTCCTTTCTTGTTCTCTACAATCTATTTTCCACACAGCACCCAGAGAAACCCCGTTAATGTGTCAGATCAGTCACTCTTCTGCTCAAAACCTCCAGTCCCTATATTAAAGTAAAAGGCAAAGTATTTTAAAGGGTCCACACAAGTGCCCCATACACAATCACCTTATCCTTAAGCTCAGTTCATACTACTATTACCTTTGCACACTCCACTCCAGCTACAATAGCTTCTTTGCTGTTGCTTGAGCACACTAGGTAAATTCCAGACCTAGGGCCTTTGCATTTGCTGTTCCTTTTGCCGAGATTGCTCTTCCCACACGTATCCCATAGTTCTGCTCTATTACTTCCTTTGCGTCTTTGCTCAAACATCAAGTTCCAGGTGGGCTCTCTTATAATAATTGCCACCTCTCCACCCCCATACATACTTCCTAACCACTTTCCCTGCTTTGTTTTTCTCCATAGCACTCACCATTGATATTTTATACCTTTTATTTATCAGTTGTTTATCCCCGCAAGAGTGTGAACTCTTGCTGGGTGATGATTGTGTTTTTGCTTTGTTCACTGTAATATCCTAGGGCTAAGAACAGCACCTAGCACACAGTAGATGTTCAATAAATATTTGCTTAATGAGCAAACGGTATTACTTCAATTTGGGGGTTTTCATCCTTAACCCTGTTAAGTGCTAGAAATAAGAGCTAGTGGATATCACCCAAATTTCCAGACGGCACTTGGGGTCTTTCAACTTACACGCATTATCTTTTGTCTGGTACATCATTCCTCTCATTTTTCTTAGATAGTAAGGCAGCAGGAAAAGGCCTAACGTGTCCAAGGAAGAAACAAACCAATCATGTACAAAACTGATTTCGGGTGGTTTGATTCTTCTCCATAAACCAATAGAGAAAATGCATTTTGAATTTTCAGAGTTTCTCCTCTTAAGCCTAAGGAAAATAAGCTGTTATGTTTGTCTTGCGGGGGCGGGTTGAGGGGGAGGATACTGGAAGAGACGCGAAGGCCGGTGCACCTTCTTCAAGAACGTCAACTCTTGGGCAGTCCAACTTACTTTTGGGGGGGGGGCATCGTTCGTGGTCTCTGCTAGGGGGTGTTTCTTTCTCACCCTCTGAGGTACCTATTGTGCTGTGTCTTGCGAATGAAATAAGGTGGAAGAGGAGTGGGGGGCCGAAGGGATGCTGAGTGCGGCTTCAACTGCCTCCTAGCACAAAGTCGGGGAGGCGAGGGCTCCGCGCGGGTGTCTAGGGGGCGAGCGGGCGCCGGAGCCGCGCGCCTCCGACCGCAGCCTCGGCCCCGGGTCGCAGGCGGGACGCGGGCTGCGAGGAGTTAGGCCCGGACAGAGGCCGGTGGCCTCCCAGCGGCCGGGCACGCGGCCCCCGCGCACCCCGCTCTCCCGACCCCCTCAATCCGGCGCCCGTCTCGGTTACCTCGAACTCTCTTCAGCGAAATGGGATCCTTCTCCTGTTCCGCTGACATTACAGACCGCAAAGCATGACTCCCCCCCAGGCCGCGGGAATTCGGTCTCTTTGATGCGGCGGCGGCGGCTCCTCCTCCTCCTCGCGGGGCCGCTGCGGCTGCGAGGCGAGCCTCGGAGCCGAGGCGCGGCCGAGGGCGGCAGGGACGCGGGCCGACTTTACAAAGTTTGGGAGGAGGACGAGGCCTCGGGGCGGCCGGGCGGCGTGCGGGGGCTGGCCGGGCTCAGCGGCGGCAGCGGGGAGCGCGGCCTGGGGGCGGCCCCCCGCCCGGGGCCGGCATGTGCGGACGACTAGTGCGCCGCCTTCTCCTCCCACTCCTTCTTCTTCGTGGCCGCCGCCGCCTGAGGAGCCGCTGACAGGGGAGGCAGGAGCGGGCGGCCGGGCCCTGGCGGCGCACTCACAGCGCCCTCTGAGGAGGAGGTCTGCGCTCTCGCCGCTCCCGAGTCGCAGACACAAAAGCCCCCAGCGTGGATCCGCCTGCAAAACCCGCTCTGGGGCGGGCGACGGACGTGGCGCGGTCCCGCGGCTTCCCCGCCCTGGGCTCCCCAGCGCCGCGCGGGGACGGACTTCGGGGGGCGGGGGCCGCTGCCTGGTCCCACCGCGCCTCCCGCCACTGCCGCCGCCGCCACCGCCTCGCGCTCCGCCTCAGCCCAGCCCCCACGGCCCGCGCGCGCCTCTCGCTCCGCGCCGGGGCTCGCGGGCCCGCGGCCCTCGTAGCCGGGGCGAGCGGCGCGCGCCGAGGGGCCGTCCCGCCCCGCCCCGGCGGCTTCTGCGAGGCAGTGGCATCTCCGAACTTCTCCGGAGGCCACGGCAGGCATCACGGCCTGACAGTCAGGGATCTGAAAAAGGACCGCACAATCAGAGAAAACTTTCTAAGTGGGAGCTGTAGAGTTCTCGGCGGACATGTGGACACCCACATTCCCTGACTCCGTGTCCAGATTTGGACACCTGTTTGTGGAATGCCCCAACTTCAAGTTTTAACAACTTTACTCTTTAAAAAAGAGTGATGCGGAATTAATACAAGAAAGGAGTAGAAACGATGAGAAAGATGGACTTAATTGAGACGTTAAATTTTAGAAGGACCCGCGATGTGCTTGTAGATTGGATTTGGTCACTGGTTACCTATATGTCCATCAGTTGAGCTTTGTGACCTAAGGCAACGTACGTAACCTCTCTGAGTCTCAGATTTCTGATCTCTGAAAGGCAGTGGAGTTACCTCTCTGAGGTCTCTTCTAGCTCTGACATTATTCAGCTTACTTTTACGAAACTGTTCACCCTATTTGTTGTTAGACTTTCCAGTTATCCTACTAAAGAGAATCTGTAGGTTCAGGCTCAAATCTTCAATCAGGCGAGATTCTGGGTTTATTTTGATGTCAGAATCATTAAAAAGCATTCATTATTCATATCAGGAGTTAGAACTAATCACAAACAGGAGTCACATCATTCTGGAGACAAGACTCGTATAACTCAGTCAACTGCACATACAGATGTAAACTTGAAGCCAATGTATGGAGTTTTAACAGGTACATAACAGACAAGCACCACAGGAGCAGCAAAATATCGGTTTGTTACAAGGGAGGATATGGCCCGGCCAGGTTACAAATGTTACCCTTTCTCTAGTAACTTTTGGGGGAAATTCCTGATTAGAAGATTGAGACTAGGATAAACTAGGGAAATTTTTCATACAGAAGGCACATCTGGAAGTCTCCCCACAAGTAGAATAAAAGCTCCATGCAGGCATTTTATCCAGTTTGCTACTGTATCCTCTGGTACCTAACAATGACTGGCAAGTGTTCAAAATTTTTTTTTTTGTTAAAAGGATGCATGAATAAACAGTCTGGAAGTGGCCCTGGGCAGACTGGATTGACAGGGTTTGGCAAGTGTGATAAGGCCCAAGCAAATGCTAAGAATGATAAAGCAAATTGGCTCTTACACTCTATCTCACTGGATTGTTGAGAGAAGACGTGAAAGCACTTTGAAAATATCAATCAATATGGAAACATAGAGTTTTTATTATATAATCCTTAGTGCAAGAAGAGTGGTTGAGAAAAATCGTTGCTAAGCGGTTTTGAATTCTTAGAGTAATTTCCTAAAACTAGAGATTCAGAAATAATATGTAAATCAAGGGAAGTGAATTGGCCTCTTTTTAATGATTCATCAAGAATAAAAAGACCATCTTACTTGGTCATGGATTTTTAGATCAATTTGTCTTCCACATTCTGATGACTTACTTGCTACATATCACAGCTACCAAGAGAGGATTCTAAAGTTTCAGATTCAAGTTCCTCCCCAGATTTTCTGAATCAGAATCTCTGGGAATGAGGTCTGAAATCTTTCTTTATGCTCTCTAGGTGATTCTACAGCAATAATCATTGTGCACTAGACTTCTTATGTCCCCAGTGTGATAGAATCCTTAACAAAATATACCTTCACCTTGCTGTTGAAGTCTTTATCCATGGAACTTGGTTATGAATTTTAGAGGTAATCTAAATCTTTAATCCCTCTCTCATAGAGAGATGCAGGTAAATCTGTTGTTGGTAGGTCTACTCTACTATTTAAAAATACATACTCAGCCCTGATTTGTGTGGCTCTGTTGGGAGTGGTCCTGGAAGGTGAAAGTTCATGGGCTCAATTCCTGTTCAGGGTCAATGGGTTGCAGGTTTGGTCTCTGGTTGGGGTGTGTAACACAGGTAACCCATCAATGTTTCTCCCCTTCTCTTTCTTCCTCCATTCCTTTCTCTCTAAAAATAAATAAATAAAATCTTTTTTTTTTTTTTTAGTTTAAAAAAATAAATAAAAATACATGCTCTGTCTTACCTAAAACTCAATAGTAGGTACAGCTTAGGCTAGAAGAAGGCTCAGTAAACTTATTCTGTGGAGGACCAGTTAATATTGTAGGTTTCACCGGCCATATGTTCTGTCACAACTACTCAACTCTGCCACTATGTTAGGAAAGCAACTATGGATAATATGTAAAGAAGTGGGTGTGGTTGTGTTCCAGTAAAACTTTATGTATATAAGCCAACAGTGTACTGAATTTGGCCCATAGTCAGTATTCTGCTGACCCCTAGACTAGAACTTGAATCACACAAAGGACATTGGAGTTCAGTGGACATAACTAGGCTTCAGATACAAATGAAGGAGACATTACCTAAGAATGGATAAACTCACCCAGGAACAATGAGAAATGAGAGCCAAGAACAGAATCCAGGGAAATACTGATATTTTAAAATGTGGACAGAGATAGAGGAGCCTGTAAAGGAAATAGAGAAGGCAAGAAAAAAAAATAGATGTGTTAGGGCAATCAAAAAGAGAGAGAAATATCAATGTTGTCACATGCTGCAGAAAGAAGTACTAATTTCTATCTTTAGACATCCTTGCCCTTGGAATCTACTTAACCTCCTTGTTTTGAAGTATTTTACAGTCTTTGCCTTGAGTATTTTACATCTCAAATTTTATGTGTTTATATTGTGGGAAGTAGATAGTGGAGCATTTAAGCATAAAGACTCTAAGTTGGTTTAGATTAACATGTAAACATTTCTTTTCAGAAAAAAAGAAAATATTGCTATAAGTTCCATTTTCTAACATTGAAAATCATAGATTTGTTTTAAATTGAATAGAAAGAAACATAAAACCCAATTCTAGGTGTTTGAAAGTTTTGCAACATTAGTTTGAATTCTTCCATGATGTAAGTGAAACTGTGGTCATCTTAGCAAACTCTATTTATTGGTCAGCCACATCCAGCATCCCCTTGTTGACAATACAGGGAATTACAACAGCAAATCTTAGAAGACGTTTGTATAGGCCAGGATTCAATCCAGACACAAAAATCACACAATTTAAATAGAGTAAATTTAATACAAAGAATTATTATATTTATTTTTTATTTTTAAATTATATTTTGTTGATTATGCTCTTACAGTTGTCCTGATTTGTCCCCCAAAGCCTCCCCTCCACCCAGCACCCCTTCTACCTCAGGCAATCCCCCCACCATTGTTCATGTCCATGGGTCATGTGTATAAGTTCTTTGGCTCTCCATTTCCTATTCTGTACCTATCAATTTGTAGGTCTTGATCCCTTTTCCCCCATTCTCCCTGTTCTCTCCCCCAGCTGATAACCCTTCAAATGATCCCCATATCTATGTCTATGTTTCTGTTCTGCTTCTTTGCTTAGTTTGTTTTTAGGATTCAATTGCTAATAATTCTGAATTGATTGCCATTTCAATATTCGTAGTTTTGATCTTCTTTTCCTTATATAATTTCCTTTAGCATTTCATATAATAGTTGCTTGGTGATGATAAACTCCTTTAGTTTTACCTTATCTGGGAAGCACTTTATCTGCCCTTCAATTCTAGATGATAGCTTTGCTGGATAGAGTAATCTAGGTGGTAGGTCCTTGCTTTTCATCACTTTGAATACTTAAGGCCAGTCCTTTCTAGCTTGTAAAATATCTTTTGAGAAATCAGCTGACAGTCTTATGGGAACTCCTTTGTAGGTAATATATGCTTTTCTCTTGTTGCTTTTAAGATTCTCTCTTTATCTTTAACCTTTGGCATTCTAATTATGTGTCTTGGAGTGGGCATTTTTGCATCCATCTTGTTTGGCACTCTCTGTGCTTCCTGGACTACATATCTATTTCTTTGCCAAATTAAGGAAATTTTCTTTCATTATTTTTTCAAATAGATTTTCAATTTCTCACTTTTTCTCTTCTTCTCCTGGTACCCCTATGATGCAAATGTTGGACTTCTTGAAGTCGGCCAGTGGCTGCTTATACTTTCCTCTTTTTCTTTAAAGATTTTATTTATTTATTTTCAGAGAGAGGAGATGAGAGGGAGAAAGAAAGGGAGAGAAACATCGATGTGTGAGAAAAACTTTGATTAGTTGCCTCTTGCTCTTTCCCAACTGGGGACCACAACCCAAGCATGTGTCCTGACCGGGATTCAAATCAGCAGCTTTTCAGTTCAAAGGCCAGTGCTCAACCCACTGAACCACACCAGACAGGGCTATCCTCCTTTTTTTTTTTTTTTTAATTCTTTTTTCTTCTTGTTGTTCCAAAGGGTTGTTTTTTGCTTCCAT